CGCTGTCTCAGCTGGCCATTCATAGTTGCAGACGTTGCAACAGCTATCATTGGTTGCTCATTGCTCATCGTTCTAAAAAGCAAATGGCTTTTCGATTCGATTACTGGCCTTTCAGCACCCGCATACCTTTCTACTACAAATCACGCCTCAGTTTCAACTGTACAATGTGTGCACAAACATAAAAGTCTGTTTCAAGAATTTGTCGTCGTGACAATTCCAGGAAGAAAATCGCCAAGTCGCCATGAGGTACGTCACTATATTGAAACTAACGGCAGCCCAATCTCGGAGCGTCCTCGTCGATTGGCCGGCGAAAAGGTAGCTATAGCTAGATCTGAAATCAACTTCTTGATTGCAGAAGATATATGTCGCCCTTCGAAGAGCCCTTTGAGCAGCCTATTGTATATGGTTAGCAAAAAAGATGGTGGTTGGCGCTCGTGCGGCGACTTTCGTAAGTTCAACACGGACACTGTGGCTGATCGGTATCCAATCGCCCACATTCATGATTTCACTGATCAGCTGCATGGTTAAAAATATTTTCGACACTTGATCTCGTAAAAGCTTCTTATCAAATACCGATGGCAGAAAGTGACATTCCAAAAACAGCTGTATCTACTCCTTTTGGACTTGTTGAATTCCTATACAAGCTGTTTCTAAAGGTTTATGGACCACATTTTTCGTGGGATTAATTTTGTATATTGCTACATTGACGACATATTAGCATTAGCAACATCTTCGCACCGTCCTACAGACTCTGCGCGAGCACGTCCTTTCCATCAACCTGAGCAAATGCCAACTTGCGCAATCAGAAGTTCACTTTCTCAGCTACATTGTCAACGAACACGGAATCAAACTGCCCAGTAGCCGAAATGACGCCGTTCTTAATTACGCTCGTCCTGATACAATTAGCCAACTGGATCGGTTTCTTGGCATCATCAACTACTTACTACCGTCGATGCCTGCCACATTCGTCCCGCACTTAGGCGCCCATGTCTGAGCTGCTATGAAATGTTAAAATAAATAAAATAAATAATTATGTAAAAAAAAAATTAAAAGAAAAAACGAAAGATGGACAGCGGAACTCGTAGCTGCTTTCGATGCCTGTAAACACAGTGTGGCTGACGCATCGATCCTGGCACATCCATCTTCAAATGCAAAACTTGCTCTTGCGTGTGATGCTTCTGAGGTTGCCATCGGAGCCGTACTAGAGCAACAAGTTAATGACAGCTGGCAGCCACTTAGTATTTTCTCGAAGAAGCTAAGCAACGCAGAAAAGAGCTACAATACATAAGATCAAGAGCTTCTGTCAGTATTTGAAGCCATCAAATATTTTAAAAGGAACAGACAACACGGTTGCAGACGCCTTTGCGCGGCTTTGCACGATTTCTATGCCATCGACCGTGAAACTAGAGCAGAGAGAGGAAGCGCAAGCCGAGGTGTCAATACGATCCTGGCTATTGTTACACTGCGGAGGCTACATCCAAGAGCAGTATTCAAGGATAGGGCGACCAAGAGAGATGCCTTAGAGTTTGATGAATCCAAGTACACCTTTGGGCTCATTTCCGATGGAATTTATATGAACTTAGAATTTAAAAAAATCGCCTAAACCCTTAACTATTATTATACGTTCCAATGGAATATTGTCGAAGACCCTTTATATATCCTTGCTACGACCTACTCTAGAGCATGCCCCATGTATATGGTTGCCATAACATAATATTCACCAAGACGTGAGAAATCGATTCTTCTAGGCTGACATGCCAATTAAACTTCTCTATCCCTACAATACGTAATTATACACCTTTAGCGCAAGTCTGATTAAACCATTCAGAGTCTTTGTGATGATTATTTAAAATATAATATTCCTCTTATAAGGTCATCTATTGTAAAGTTGTGTTTTTAGCCGTGCTTGTAGAACTCAGTCTACCCGGGTCTACTTATAAGAAATTTGTAATTTGCCGAAACTGGGGCCACGGGGATCGCTCCGCCGTGGTAGTAAATAAACTGCCGCTGTTCGGTCTCGATTATCGGACGATCAAAAAGGAAGTGTTTCAAGCAAACTATGACTCCTACTACTTTGATAGGATAGGAAGAGATGTGCATACACATGGCCGGGATCGCACACGCGACGACCAAACTAAGCCTCGATTTACACACATATGGCCGGGATTACTCACGCGGTCGGCCAACTTATTCATTCGCACATACACGGCACACTAGGCTATGGGAAGAGGTTAGGTTGAACACCGGCAACTCAGGTGTTCGAGGCCAGCTAATCCTGGCTAAAGGAAATAAAAATAACTAATCGATTTTCATTATTAACTTCATTTTTATTCACACTCAGACACAGAAGTACTCACCATTACACTCGATTGCAAAGTGCCGGCACGCGCGCTAGCGAGCCGTGCGCTTGTCTCGGCCGCTCAACTTCGCCTCGGAGCTTTTGCTCTTCGCCGCCGAAGTGAATTTGCGCTCCCGAAAACGTGTTGAGCAGCCGACCAGCAACGCACGGTTGTGCGGCGCCCGGCGGTTAAATTCAAATTTCAATTATGAGTGGCTCCTTGCCCTTAACCATACGCCTATTCTAATACAATTAATACTACGGCTTCTGGCCTTTAGTTAACCACTCTCTTATCCTAATAAATATCACCACTGATAGAAGTCTACTATAACACTAACGGCTGCTTGCCTATTATTTAGCTCAGACCTTATTTTAATACAATAAATACTTATTAACTAACAAAATCAACTAAATTATGGTCCACCATACCCGCTGACAGGAATGTCCCTTGGGGAAACACTCCCGATCCCCAGGGAGTGAAGTCGGAAATGGGGTGCTCGAGTAAGTTCTTGTGGGACTGTCTCCGAGCTCAGGCACGCCTCTTCGTCTAGCACCATTTCCCACCCGATTCCATCGAACAAATCCACTGTGTCCCTCCACAGTTCGCACGCTGGGTTGTCGTTGGTGTTCACTTCGGCGGCGCTTACCCCGGGCGGACATTTGTAGACGGTGGCGGTTCCGCCGTCGTTTTCCGCCAGGGCCTTCTCCAGAGCTCGCTCCTCCACGTTTCGAAAGACCCGATCGGGGTCCACTTTCCCCCTCCGGGACCTTTGGTAGATAGCGTAGAGTTATCCGAGCAAACTGGCTATTCCGGCTCCAAGCGGAGTGAGGCGAGGCGGCGGCGGAATAACGGTTCCGTAGATTCGTCCTCAGTTACTGGTTCGTAAGTCGCCGTGGGCTTCACGTCGATATCATACGATATAGTGAGATCCTGGAGAGCTTCTACGAACGATAGCAGATCGGACTGTAGTATCCCTTACTTATTAGTTTGTTCCGGCACGATTAAGTGTCCCCTCATTTCCGTTAGTGGACGTGCTGGTACTAGCGGGGTGCCCTGTTCCATTATCCTTTTTTTTTTTGGATTTTACAAACTACTTCCACTTTACTTTTCGACTTATATGTTGGGTCTATTTAAATCCACAACTGTAATTTCGCTTATTTATTACTTTTCTTCATTTTGTTTTAAGCAACCAAGAAAAAATAATGAAAAAATAATTTCCTAACATAATGGTCCTTATTTCTAATTGATCTCTTTTTATTTTTCCTCAAAAATATATATATATGTCGTATATACCATTATTTTTGAATGTTATCGATTAAGTGTTAGAAATAAACATAAAATTTGAAAGAAGGTACTATTATTCAATATTACTATCCCATTTGTATTAGGGTTGCTACTGAAAGCATGGTGTGAGACAAAGAAGTTAGTCTCTAACAAGCATGGTCCGAATTGTGTTGTGTAGCGTTCAGTTTGGTATTCACTGTTAAATGCTCACTAACAGTACTTAAGGTCAGAAAAGAATGTAAAATGACAAGAGCATGTGTAGTATGCTAGAGGACGATGAAAATCTCTTCATTCTGAACGTGCCAGCCATAGTGAACAGACGTGCTCTTCAAAATATTATTTTTTGGTGATTACAACACGACACTCGGGACTTGCTGTGCAGCCAGTATGCCTAATTGTAACGGAAGCGATTTCTCTGATCCGACATACTTATTTCTTTTCTTGTTTCCACATTTGTGACACGTTAACGTTTTCTCACTTTTCAGTTTCATCGTACTCCACCTTCTGGTCCCACTCGCGAGCTTCGCTCACTCAACAAAATTTTATGACCATCCACTTCGTTAATAGTTCGTCTGTTGTCGCGCCACTTGCCCGGCTGCACGTGTACATTGGCTAACGACACACTTCCCTTTTTCTACTCTTGTGTGTTTTAGGCCACGTTAATGCCACGCCCATTCATGCCTCGGTTTCGGGCGCTACTAGTAAGATGTATGTGTATTAAGCCGGGGTTGTAGAGCTCTGAAAGGCAGGGCCACGGGGAGCACTCCGCCGTGGTGTAGATTAGGGTAAATAAGCGTGATGGGTGCTGTTTAATTATTCGATTACCGAATGATTAACAAATAGAACTAAAACCACTGAGTATTTTCAAATTTTATTCTGTTCCTCTTTATTATGCGAATAACTTTATAGCTCTGCTGCACCTTCAATTCTTTAATTAACTTTTCCTAACTGCAAATGCGGCATTACGCTCCTAATTCTTACTATGTTCTTCGTCGTGCGGCTAAAACTTCTTTCTTAAGCCTACTTACTCCTATGCTATGTTTTCTATTTTTTACATTTAAAAAAATTATAAAATAATATATTGGCTTATGACTCCATGTCGTTCCTTTTTTTCTATTGGTTAGTTTTGGATCGTATCTCTATTGTGACCCTTTACCACATTAAACTAAACTATTCAGCAAGTAGTTGGTCTTATCATATAATCGTAGTTTGTATTCGCTTGTGGACTTCGCGACTCGTGTCGTACATTACACAACTGACCCCTTCGGTCGGCAGAGCGGGAGGTGGGATGCAGCACATTGCATCGGGACTTGCATGAAAAAAAACCCTGCTGCAGTGTCTTTATTGTATTTAAATTTTATTTTATTTTTATTTCAGATGCTTTATCAGAGTATTTGATGGAGTAAATTCGGTGAAAGAAGGCTTGGTTCCAATGGAAATATTAGAAGTTAATACAAACGCGTTAGCTTTAGATACAAACGCAAATGCTGCAGACTTGGAATTTAGAAAAAGGTAAGCATATTGTAGCACTTTCATTCGAGTTAAGCTGCTTATACATACGCAAATCTACACAATATCTTATACCTTTATCATATAGTTGAGGTTGAGAGGACATATCCCAATCAACGCGCAGACAAATAGTCTGTCAATAGTTGACATAGATACGATCAGTTATACTAAGTTCTTCTGTGAAAATTTGATTCTAGAAATTCTAGGAATGGAGTCGGTAACAGAGTTGTTTTTTAATAAACAAGAGCTTATCGTAAAAATAAGTTAAAGCATTCTATTTGTGAGTGACCGATTGGAATATACCCTGATATACCCATAAAAACCCACACACACACACTGTCTTATACGCCGCTTGCTGCGGCAGTGTTTCTCTTTCATAAGCCCACACTATTGGAATTTTTTTAAAATAAAAACGTTGCTTATTGTTTTATCTATCTAAAATGTTTTGAGCATATATAACGAAGCACAAGACTCTGCATTCAAATGTGACTTTTACAATCTTTGGTCGAAAAAATTAGATACAGTAGACCTGCGTATAATTCAAGAGGGTCTTTAGTTCTAACTATAAATAAAAACAAGAACTTATTTAATGTTCATCCATTTGGTTGAATTAAAGGCGGTCGTAACATCCAATATACAAATGGGGAAGTACTATGTGTTCGGAGGCGTAACTTAAGCGATTTATTGAATTAATAATTATATTGGATTCATTTGATCGAATATTACGTCATAAAACTAGCAGTCCGGGTGCATATCAAGAATTTAAAACCAGCAGATCGAATCCCAGTCAATCTTTTCAATTGATTCTCATGAACATATTTGAGAGACAACTAAAAATTTTCTTATTATAAATCAAAATTCTAAATGTATTCAATGGCTTCAGGTCATTATAGTCACCTCGCCCGCTAGTCCTTACTCTGTCAATCAATTTCATTGCCTGTATATTGTCACTCTCGAGTACTTATGTATGTCGATGATGTAAGGATATCCCTTACATATTATAAGTCAACAGGATGTCTATTTATCTTGGTGCTAAGTTAACCTTTTAAACCTAAACTGTTTTATATGCAAGGTAATGACCTTCTATAGAAGCAGCTTATCGGTAGACCGTGTCAAAAGTACCAGCTAGGTAATTAACTAATTGTCATTCTTTATCAGGCAAGAATTGCTTTTTGTTTTTTCCAGCGATGGTGTACGGAGTTAGATGATCCGTAGACGACAAGGACCCTATTTAAATCTCTTCTACGACCTATTCTTGAGTCTGGTTTCTACAATATTCAAACCAACTAGAATGAATTGCAATCAAAATTGATTTTCTTAAATAGAATATATTGATCTGTTTGTCAAAACTGTCTAGTTGCATTGAAGCATTAGCAGTATTTTAAAGTCGTTGCAACAGTTTTCATTAGATTCCAAGGGGGACTTTGCGAAAAGTGTCAACATTTTTTTAGCTTAATTTGCTCACAGATATTAACATATGTGCTTATTCCCAAAACTTAAGTTTTTCTAAGTTTAATCAAAGAGAGGTGTATTTTGCGAAAAGGCATTGTGGGTAACATGGCTTAATGTTTTTATACCCGGAACCCTTTAAAAATGGGTATAAGGGTATATTGTATTTGTGCGGAAGCCAAATGTATGTAGAACTAGAACCTCTTACTTGTTATATCCTGAACCCATTAAAAATGTATATAAGGGTATATTCTATTTGTGCAAAATCCAAATGTATGTAACAGGCAGAAGGAAGCATCTCCGACCCCATAAAGTGTATATATTCTTGATCAGCATCAATAGCCGAGTCGATCTAGCCAAGACCGTCTGTCTGTCCGTCCGTCCATCTGTCCGTCCGTATGTATGAACGCAAGGATCTTAGAACCTATAAGAGCTAGAGTCTTGAAATTTTAGATGTAGTTGCTCCTAGTGCATGTGCAGATCGAGTTTGTATCCGATAATCGATAACTTACTCCGATTCCATGCAATCGATCAAAATCGATATCGATATCCTGTTTTTTGGGCAATTTTGGTAAATAATAAGAGCTAGAGTCACCAAATTTGACATATAGCTTCTAAAAAAGAATACATATATGCATTTGATGTGGGAAGGAGAGGGTTCAGGGTATCACCTAGTCGGGAGCTCCCGAATAGAACCTCATACTTGCTTTTACATATATTCGCACGTAACTAATGTATCCTTTTTATACCCTTGCAGAGGGTAATATAATTTTGTCTCGAAATGTGCCTTACACATAGAAGGAGATATTTTCGACCCTATAAGGTATATGTATATATTTGTGATTAGTACCAACAGCTGAGTCAATATAGCCATGTCCGTCAGTCCGTCTGTCTGTTTCCATGCGAACCAGTCTCTCAGTTTTGACGCTACGGTCATTAAACTTTGCAGAAGTCCCTCCTCCTGTTGCACGCAGTACATATGTCGGAACCAGCTGGATCGGACCACAACATCTAATAGCTGCTATAGGAACGATCGGTCGAAAATTAAGTTCTTGTATGAATAATTTTTTTGTTTATCAAGATATTTTGAAAAAACTCGGCATTTATTAGTTTACCTATGCATCTCATATATGCAAAATCCTATCGACATCGGATCACTTTATCATATAGCTGCCATAGGAGCGATCGGTCGATAAAGAGGTTCATTTATTAAAAACCTTTTGTTTTTTAAGATAACTTAACTATTCTCGGCATTATCTATCTTGTCTCTGCTTCTTAAATACGTGCAATGCAAGGGTATTAAAGCTTCGGCGTGCCGAAGATAGCCCTTCTCTCTCGCTTGCACACATTCAAAACATTGACAAATAATATAAATAAAACAATAATATTAATAATAATAATAACAAATTCAATTTTTTTGAATATTTTCAGAACCATCGTTGGGGAGCTTATTGAAACTGAAGAAGAATTCTCAAGAGATTTACAATATGTAGTCGATAAGTATATAAAATCCATAGATAAACCTACTACTCCAAGGTCTATACGGGACAATAAAGATATTATCTTTTGTAACATTATGCAAATTGCGGAATTTCACAATATGTATGCTAAAAAAGTACACGTTTCTACCAATTGATGGCTTAATTTTAATTGTATTTCAGGGTTCTAAAAGAGGGCCTTAAAAATTATAGGCACCAACCTGAAATGATAGCAAAAACATTTTTAAGACTCGAGCGTGATTTTGATAAGCATGTGATATATTGCCGAAATGAGCCACTTGCTCAAGAGTTTCTTTCAAACAATGTAGAAAGCCTAAACTTTTTCCAGGTAAGCTACTGCATGTTTTTTCCTTTTAATTAAATTCAGAAAAACATATGAGGGAAAACAATTTTGTTAAACAAATTAAAAAAAGTTTTAAGCTTAGTATTGTTCGACTAAATTTGGTTCAAAAGCATGTACGTTAATTTAGAGTCCCTACATTTTTTCCTTGGACCATTAGAAAGAAGTTTTCTCGACTCTATTGAAGAAAGGAAATGCAAATTAAAAATATGACTTTTTCAGGCAAAAGAAAAATATTTAAGCGTTGTATAGTGTCGGGTCGGTGAAATAGTTTTTTTAAAGTCACTAAAGCTATTAGATTATAATCTCTTCGGAAGATCAACACAATAATTACCCACCCAGCTTTCGATTTGGCCTCTCCAGAAGAGGAGGTGATCAACGTCGTTAAAGCACTTTCTAGGGCTACACCACCGGGTCACGTTGGAATATGCCGCACCCTTCTGAAGGCCCTGCCAATGCGCGTGCTCCTTTTTATAACGTTGATCTTTAACGCCATATTAAGGACACAAGACTTCCCTGCCCAAGCCTGTCGGGCAAGCCGGAATTTGACCCTGAGTCATATTGGCCGATCAGTCTTCTGCCTTCCTTGTCGAAGGTTTGGGGAAAGACTGATTGTCGCCCGTTTTGATAGGCTCGTGGATCAAATGGCCATTCTTCCCTTCATTCTACTTCTGCGCTTTTATCTAACGGAGCGTAAATTTTAAGTCAAACTCAGGACAGCAATCTCTCCGGCTCGTTATATGAAGGCTGGCGTCCCTTAAGGCAGAGTACTGGGTCCCTTCCTTTACAATTTGTACACGGCGATATCCCCACTTCGGATGACCTACATGAGTTCGCCACCCCAGGCAAACACTTGATGGCCACACTTGATGGCAATATTTTACTTCGCCCACTGTGAGTACGAAGCCACTCATGGGGCCCGGGAATACATCCACTTGCTGAGAGCTGGGCTCGCATGTGGAACGTCAAACTCAATGCCTCGAAGTGCCAAGCGGTCAACTACACACTGAGGCGTGGCAAGGCTCCAGCAGTCTGGATAGATGACAGCCCCCTTCACCCTGACATAAGCGCCAAGTAACTTGGAATTGTACTGGATAAGAGGCTTACCCTCCGGGCGCACATTGGCGGCCTTCTCAAGCAGTGCCGCTTCAAGATGGCCAAGGCCAATTGGCTACTAAACCCCAACAGCCCATTGCCACTTCGCTACAAACGAGCAGTTTACAACGTCGTGGTGGCGCCAACTTGGTGATACGGTATCCAGGTTTGGAGAATTGAATCTCGTACAAATCGAAGACGGATTCAGGCACTCCAAAACTTTGCCTTGCGCCGAATGACCGGTGCTGACTGGTACATCAGAAATTCTACCTTGCACAGAGACCTCAAAATGGAGACTATAGACAGCCAAGTAGCATTCGCCAACCGATACAATGAACGCTTGCAGCGACACTGTAACCGGGTAGCAAGGGACCTCGCTGGGAGGTGAGTAGTCAGGAGGCTCAAGAGAAGATCCTTTAAGGGCCTCCTCCAACCACGACACAGGATACGACCCAGAGTCCCCCGACTACCTACCTTCTTACTCAAAGAAGACGACTTTCACGTTTATCCACGATAAAGCCTGAGGACCCAACCAGGATTGGCGAAATAAATACCTAAGTTAACTGCATTCTAATAAAAATGAATGCTATTTTTAATTCAATACAATAATCATTTATATAAAAAATAAAATTACCCACACAATTTGCAAAAATCGCCATTTTTGTGGCTCAGTTTGAAAGACAATGTAATGTACAATACCTGTCTAACCACCTCAAAATTAAGTATTTATTTGTAAGTTTATTAGTTAAATGAGTTCTTAGCTTTTCTTAAAATTGTCATTATATTCGGTTTATTAATGGTGCCATATTTGACCTATTCTTTAAAGTTATTCTTATGTATAAAAATAATTAAAAAAAAAGAGTGCTTTAGTCGGGAAAGCTTGATTCGATTATCAGCGCGAAGAGATTAAATGTGACGATGCTTACCCAAGCTACTTTGGTTTCAATGCCTCTGCCACAGCTGGCAGTGGCCAGCCGTCAGTAATGATAATGATGTCATTGTCTGCCAAGGTCACCGTATCGAGGCTAGGCTGTGTTTGGCAATGTACCATTCCACCAGAATGTAAGCAATTAGAGCACAGTGCCGATCGCTGCTTGTCTGCAGAAGGTTGTTGTCGCCACTGTTGGGGAATTTTTTAGGACCAGCTGGATCAGTATCAACAGGGGAATCGATATAGCCATGACCGTCTATCCGTCTGTCCGTGTGTCTGTTTCTATGCGAACTAGTATCTCAGTTTTAAAACTATCGTCATACGTCCCTCTTTCTGTTGCACGCAGTACATATGTCGGAACCAACCAAAGTTGGTAAGGTCCGTAGTATGTCTTAAGAACTTATATCCCTTCCATAGCAGAACGTCCCCGTCTACAATTAGTATATAGGCCGAGTGAGAGTTGCTCGCTTTGCGTGCTGTCAAAGCCAGGATGATTGGCGGACAACCCACCGTAAGATCTAGGAAGCTAAAATGTTCACTGTAGTTACCTTATGTGATGGAGGTTCAAGTTTAGTCGTGGTATGAAACTATCTTGTTTACAATCCGATCGGCCTCAAACTCAATTTCAAAGATCTGTGCTTGAATTCATTTGAGGAGTGCTTCACCCTTTTTGGAAAATTCATCCCTATTTGGTGGAAATGGGAGTGAGAGATTTCGTTTGTGAAGTTTCGTGGTCAAATTCATATCCAAAGATTTAACATATATGAAAAATCAATCAAAAATCATTTGAGACGTGTATCACACTTTTCACAGAATCCAAGCTTCCTCGGAAAAACGCGACTCATCGATTTTTTTGGCGAAGTTGTCAAAGCTCTACGTAAGAACCTAATGAAACTTGTTTCAGCGATTTGGGAAATTTCACCGCCGGAGCCCGTACTTCCTACTGACGACGCTGGGATCGCTCGTCATGAATGTTATTGGTAATACCGGGAATAACCCTCGGCCGAACTTTAACTATGGACCACACAATCTGAAAATAAAAACCACGTATTAAGGCCGGACTTCTAGCTTACTACGATTGACTGGGTACCATGTCTTTTATGAGGACCAATGATAGAGGTGATTGGCCAATCAGGGGATCTGCCATGTGGCATTCATGGACCATGAACCTCTGCCGGATACCGCCACACAACCCATTGATTCCTCCTCCTCGAATTCTGGTCGCTCGCCCGGGTATCGACGCCCTTCTCGACCTACCATATGATCAACGAGCTTGGGTTACCTTGGCAACCGGGATCAGCAACTTAGTTATACAGCGCAAACTGCAGTCGGACCACTGGTTGGATTCATTTTTTTTGTCACCGCCAAAAACTTTGCTGAGAATCCTCCCCGGCAATCCTTTCTGCCGAGTCGGCCTATCGGTTGTGGGGACTTCCGCGGTCCCCCGGAAAACTCCGATGGTTCCAGAGAATCTCGAAGGCCGTCGCCGAACTGGATCAGCCGCGAACCGTCTCTTGTGTCACCTGTCCTCGGGGTAATATCCACTCTTCCCGGTTTGGTGGAAGGGGTTCCGTCCCTTTTTTCCGACGCGAGCACACTGGGTTCCGACCATAGGGGGTCGCCGGACTCATCGCTTCCATCCTCGACCCGCGCTGATTCTTACTCCATCTCCTTGTTTCCTTGTGGGGTCTTTAAACATATTTCGTTTAGCACTTCCTTCCTACGGGTGGTACTTGGTCTTTCTTATAATAACTAAGTTTTGAGCTATACAAAATTTAGGTAATGGCTATAAGTGTGAACCGCCCGCACCTTTTCGCCTTTGCTCGATCCTAAATTGTCAATTGGTCTTCTCCGTAGTGGGGCTTAAGACGAGCGTGATTTGATTTAAGCTATTCGTCGTTCATGCACCGAAGGCACAATATTGGATGAGACGAATACACGAACTTCACTGCATGACCGTCGGAAGCCTAGGAGAGCAGGTGCTGGAGCAGCCATACCAGATAATGGACACCACTTTCTGAGAACTTGCTTCCCCCTTCGGTGTCCGTGCGATGCTTGCGTTACCAATTGTCCGAAGTTCTACCACTTGAGCTGTCAACATCCGCCAGGGTGGTCTCGCTTGCTCTACTTTCAAATTTTGGCACACTTCGCCACATGAGCGCCACAAGGTCCGTGATGACATCGAAGTGGTAGCCCGCCATGTAGCATATCTTGTCAGGCACTCCTTATAGTTTAGCTCCGCTTTCAAAAGTTTGCGGCTAGCATACCCGAGAACCCGCCCCTCTTCGCCAAACTTCTGCGTAAGGTCAGCGGCGTGACTAACTTACTTCTAGCCCAAGTCTGGGCACGCGAATATCGGGTCTGTCGCTTATCTCTTCTTAAGCAGATCTCATGCTGCCTGATGATCGGTACCCATGACCATGCCTTCCCTTATGTAATGTAGGTGCACATTAAAACGGGGACTTCCACCCGGGAGTATGAAAAAGTCACGAAAATCGTTTGTATGAAATTTTTTGTTTACCAACCGATCGGCCTTAAACTTATTTTCAAAGATCTTTGCTTATATTCATTTGAGGGGTTTTCGCACTTTTTGGAAAATACATCCTCCTTGGTAGATTTGGGGTACAAAGGTGCCCCCAAATTCATTTCCAAAGGTTTATATTAATAAATATTTGAGACTTCTTTGCTGGAAAGTGCATATCAAAGATTTTTTTGGTAATGTTTTAAGTTTTGTCCGATTTGCTTCAAACTTATTTTCAAAGCTTTACATAGGAATATACTGAATACGTGTTTTAATGAATTGTGAAATTCCATCCGCAACACTGGTAAATTGTTGGAAAACGTTTGTATGAAAGTTGTCTGCTTACCGTCCGATCAGATTAAAAATAATTTTTGAGAATATTTATTTTATAGGTGCCACGGGCAAGGCCAGGTCATATCAGCTAGTAATTAATATACGTTT